ATGTTTACAGACTATGTTGAGAAGGATTGAGGTTTGCCAAAATAAATTTCCAGTTTTCAGCCAGGCAAGATTTTTATTTACCATGTTTATTGCCACTGATTCCTATTTCACCTTTGAATAAGGCCTGGAGGGTTTTGGTTCACTGATTCTTATGAAAAGCAAGCTAATTTGGGGATCACAGAGTTAGGATCTAGATGTATAGGGCCAGAAATTTTGGTCATCTTGGACCAAAATTGTATATATATTTACAGCTTTTTTTTTTTTTTTAATTTTATTTTTTTCCCTGTGGCTATGTTTTTATGGTAGGGAGTTTTTTCCCCCCATTGTTTTGATTTTAGAAAGGACTAGCTGCTATCATCTTCTGCCTTATTAAAGTGTGTGTGTGCTCCCATCAGCGTCTTAGGAAAATTTAACTGCATAAACAGATACCTCTGGCCAAGACAGCTCAGAAAGGCTACAGCACAGAGTGCTGCCATCGGGAAAACAAGGTTTGGAATTGAGAATGTTTTTGCTGGGCTGATGGAAACTTGGCATGTTGCATGATAACTTAAAGTTAATGAATGCTGGTGGAAAACAGGCCCCAGACTCCTGGCAGTGGAAAGTAAGCCAGGATCAGAGGTTTAGTAAACAAGCTACTCACACACAACCCTAGCTCCAGAAGGTGGGATTAGTGCTGGTCATTGCACCTTCAAGCACTGGCGTTGAAGGGGGAGAGGACCAAGCCAGACAGGAGCAGTGCAGGAGGTCCTCCTGCCAGAGGGCAGCTGTTGTGCAACCGCCATCCTTTAAGGCAGTGAAACCATGCCGTAGGCCAGGGGAGACTTTCTGGATTTTATCCTTAATATACAAAATAGATTCAGGTATCTGAGTGCCATTCAAGTTTGCTAAGTCTAAAATACATAGCCTCAAAATGACTACTTGGCTGCCACTTAACTCTGGGGAGGCTGGTTATTATAAGTACTGAAGTTTCTATCACTAAAATTTATTCTGTGTCTAAATGTTTGCAACTGTTCATATGCTGGAGTTGCCAAAACATCATCATATGAGCATCTTTAATCTGTGTTTCAAACATATTTGGGGTATATAAATTGGACATTGTGATAGCTGGCTGGCTGGCTGGCTGGCAGGGCCTAATCCAGTCAGCAAACTCACAGGAGATCTTCATTTCTGCTCTTCATTTAAAGTGCAGCCAGACGGTGTAATGCCCCTTTTACTTTTCTGGTAATGTCGTTATAATATAGTTAGTTTCCTCCTCTGCTTGGTCAAATGGTACACTTATCTCAGGAGTATCTTCTGACGGAAAGCTGTGTCCAACAGCAGCTATGTGGAGGCACATTTTAAACACCGAAGGGGGATGATCAATAGGATAAGACGACACATGTTTCAGCTAAACAGGGAGTACTCACAAGAGAAGGCCTTGGCTCCTGATCTTTCTCATCCTATGACCTGTAGGCAGGAGTGTCACTAGGTAGTGAGAGCATACTTTATCTTATTTCAGAGTTCATTGCAGAAGGTTCCTATTGGAAGAACAAAGTATCCAGTTCTGAAATGCTCAGTAATCTGAAAACTGGACATCCAGAGCATGTGGATTCAAATTTCCTTGAGCAGGAAAAATGTTAAAACTCTCTCCAGCCTGAGGCTGTAATCCTTACAGTATAGAGCAAGAGAGAGAGAATGCTGTGTTTTGTGAGAAGGGGGTTGGGACAGAGACCTGTGATCAAGGACAGACACTTTCTCCTGGGTCCAGGAGTGCCAGCTCTGGTTCACAGTAGTTGCTCATCCCTACACTTCTGCAGGTTGTGCATTAACACATGCATGCCTTAATTTGCTTCAGGCTCAATAAAAGGAGATTAGCTCAATAGTGCAGATTGTTGGCATGAGCCTGGCTGAATCTCCTTGGGGTGAATTAAGGAGTTGCCCCACATACTGACTCAGTCACAGGTGGGCTGGGGCAGGATTCTCCAGCCAGGAAAAGAGAAAACATCTGCTCCTGCTCTAACTTTAGGAAGCAGTTCAAAGCTAAAATTACCTCAGGCAGGAGGTTCTTCCTTTTATTCCATATTTCCATGCTGAAAAGTCTATCAAAATGGATTTAAAAGGTTTGGATGTTCCTAAATCCCTCTGTGGCCTAAGCCACTACCTCATCTTGTTTTTCTACAAGTATGCCCTGTTTATTGCTGACTTGGAGTCCAGTTCTGGTTTCCTCAAAACTATTACCAAGATGTATTTAATATGGCAACAACAAGATTAAGCAATGCAGGGTAGTCTCTTCTGTCATTCTGGTTTCCACCTGCCTGGATGAAGAGGTCCCAGCTTCTTAACCCTCACCTCCTCTCTCCCCTGTCCTGGTTGCTTTTTCTTGTCACCTCCCTTTTACCAGCTCAGGTCTTTGTCTAATTCCATACTGAGCAATTTGCTGGACATTTAGGAGTTTCAGCAAGTTCTCTCATGGCCCCTGGAAAGGGGAGAATAGAGGGACAGGGATGGGTTGGTCTATATCAGGACTGCAGCAGCCAGCAGTCAGCCAGATACAGAACCCTAACCCTAGATCCTCTAGCACAACTTCTTGTGTAACTGCTCCCTAACCCAGTTGGGTCAGACAGACATCAGTTTCAACAGATTAAATACCACATGGCTCCAATTGTTTTGACCAAACTGATTAAGAAATAAATTGTTAGCACTTTATCTTGGCAGATCTGAAGGGTGCAATTAAAAGAGGAGGTGGAGCTTAGAGTAAAATGAGCTATACTTTTGACCAAGATCAACTTTGGACAGAAGAGAAAGTCAACTGGGGTTTCATGTGCCAGCATGGTCATTGCTGACAGGAAACTAAACCTTGCTAATATTAAGCTATTTCAGAAGAAGGTCTTATGCTGGAGTAAATTCTAAAGATGTATTTTTGGTTTTGTAACATCTAAGTTAAACAGTTCATCAAAATTATACATAAACATTTCTTAGCATATTTACTAGGGGGCACCTGATATATACTTATTTTGTAGAGATAAAATTGTTCTTCCAGATTGCTAAAGTCATTTCAGCTTTCATATGTTTTTTGCTTTCTGTGCTAAGAAGGAAAGAAGTTACTAATATAAATCTTATAAGAGAGGGAGAGAAAGAGAGAAAAAAAAATATTCACAAAAATTTGTCTTTGATATCAACAATGAAAAAGTAGGAGTGAAGTTTTCTATGTGGTCTGATAGAGTCCCAGGCTGTGATCTTCCCAGATAGTAAAATTAGCATCTATATTGCTAGGACAAAGCTCAAGATTATCTCTGTTAAGAAAACAAAGGAGAAGGTAAATAGGGCTTTAAATATAGGTATGCTTATTTCCTTTCAGACTGGAGTCATCAAAAGACAGTTTAATTTAATTTCATTTAGGAGGTTAGACCAATTACTTTGTGGCAGAAGAGAGCTAACACATGCTTTAGACTTTGGTTTTCATTTAACTAGAAAGTGACTATGCAACCATGTGAAAAGAGCTTTAAAGCATTTAATATCTTTTGTATACTGAATGAGTGAAAGTTGGCAAAAAGACAATTTCCCTCTTCATATCAGCAGCAGAAATAAAACTGTATTTATCACATTAATGATGCTACTTTCTTTAGATTAAAAACAAACAAACAAACAAACAAACAAAAAAACTACTGCATGTCCACCTCTAAAAACCTGGTAGCATATGGGTACCATTAACTTCTAAATTAAATAAATGATCTTACTGGTAAACCCAATAAATATTCTTTAACCTGATATTGTTTAAATATTATTCAGATTATTTTGGCTTTAATCAGGGTTGAACAAAATACTTATGACAGACTCATAGAATGGTTTGGTTTGGAAGGGACCTTAAGACCATTTAGTTCCAACCCCTCTGCCATGGGCTAGGCTACCTTCCATAAGACCACGTTGCCCAAAGTTGCCCAGGTGGGCCATCCAAACCGGCCTTGAACACTACCAGGGATGGGGCATCCCCAGCTTTTCTGGGCAACTTGTTCAGATGCTGCACCACCCTCACAGTAAAGAATTTCTTCCATACATCAAATCTAGATCTACCCTTTTTCAGCTTAAATCCATTCCCCCTCATCCTATCACTACACTCCCAGACAAAAAGTCCCTCCCCAGCTTTTCTGTAGGACCCCTTTAGGTACTAGAAGGCTGCTATAAGGTCTCCCTGGAGCCTTCTCTTTTTCAGGCTGAACAACACCAACTCCCTCAGCCTGTCTTCAGGAGAGGTACTCCAGCCCTCTGATCATCCTTGTGGCCCTGGACTTATTCTAACAGGTCCATGTCCTTGGAGACCCCAGAGCTGAAGGTTGTACTGTAGATGGGGTCTCACAAAAGCAGAATATAGTAGGAGAATCACCTCCTTTGGCCTAGTGGCCATGTTGCTTTTGATGCAGTCCAGGATACGGTTGGGTTTCTGCACTGCTGGCTCATGTTGAGCTTCTCATCAACCGACATCTGGTGGTCTTTCTCCTCAGGGCTGTTCTCAATCCATTCTCCGCCCAGCCTGATTTTGTGCTTGGGATTTTGCCTCAACCCTGGTGCAGGTCCTTGCACTTGGCCTTGTTGAACCTCATGAGGTTTGCATGAGCCCTGATAATGCTATACATCAGATTTAATATAATTTATGCTCCTTATGAACATCACAGTGAGTTTTGTTAGATATTGCCTTGTATATGTGTAACATAAATTTTAAAATAAATTGCTTTTTAATAATAATTCTTCCCTCCTATAACTGTATTCTTAATTCTTCCAAATTGGGGTATTCTATGATTCTGTGATTCTCTGCTAAGGATTAAACAGGCTGTACATAATTTAGAGTTGCCATTTATTCTAATTATTTGCAATATTATTTTCTGTAGAAGTAAACATGTATGCCAATAATAATCATCATCGTATCATAAACCTCTGACATGTAATGATTGTTAATCTTCTGTATCCTTTAGTTTGCCACAGTTCATTGGCACCATTGTTGATATTGATAGCTTTATGTTTTCTAGACACTAAGCAAGCAATTCATCAAGAGAACAACAAAGGCTGGAACTGAAAGATAAAACATCCAGGTCAGTAACTCATCAAGTGTCTTACACCTGAAAATGTGCTGGAACATAGAGAAGCTACAGGGTAGTTCGATGTCTAGATGTTAGCAGTGAGAGTGTCAGTGCACACAAAGGTGTGGGTGCCTCGGAGTGCCTGCTGTGAACCAACACACACAATTACATATTTCAGTAAAAAAAAATATGTTTGCTGTCAAAAGATCTGAGAAAAATAATTAAAAAAAAGACCTGCTAATAAATTATATTAAGTAATTCCCAAATTCACTTTTCTGTAATACATTTCTAAATACATTTAGTAACTTTCCAAACAACTATGCCAAGTGTGGGTAGTATTCAGCCATCTAAAGATGCTAGCTGAGAGAGATTTGCAGAATCAAATTGGGTCCGTACATCTCCATGTATTTACCTCAGATGATGGTTCAGGCCTTTTTTAAAAATAGGAATCTAAGAAGATTGGGTGATGTGCCCGAGCTCATCATATGGCCAGTAGAGAGTGTTAGCAAAACCACTGAAATCTTCCTTTCCACTGATTATAAAATGCCCCTATATGCATTTTTAGTGTCCACATGCTGGAGCAAGCTGATGGGAAATGGGCTTCGCATTGAAAATCCCTTTATGTATGCTCACCCCACACTTTTCAATGTCTAAATACATATGTAAGTCTACCTCTAAGTAGTGCACTGGTTTTATAACTGAAAATGTTAGGACTAAAAATACTACTCTTCCATTAAGGGTGAAAAAAAAAAAAAAAAAAAAAAAAAAAAAAGAGTTAAGGAGATTGATTCTATTTCAAAGGCTTCTATGCAGAACAAAATAACCATGCTTTACTTTAATTAATATAGCTGGCAACGATGATACAATCCCGAAATAGCAGAATAATATCTTGTTGATGTTTAAGATAAGAGGATGAATACCTGGCATGGCATTTTGATTTTGTTTATTAATAATCAATATTGTTATTACACTGTCATTTATATAGTGCTGTAGATGAACAGAACTTCACAGAAGCATGAAAATACAAAACATATGAGAAACTGCTAGTCTAATTTCCAGAGTATATTTTATGTATTTGCCCTTTTATATCTTTAAACGTGTTAAAAAAATTTAGTTATCAGTTTTCCCCATTGGCAGCTAAGGTAAATGTTGAACAGCTCAAGGCAGGGAACCTAAGCCTGAGCTCGTTCTCTGTTTTTTCCAGTAGTCCAGTAGTCCTTCATAGACTTTGAGTGTCTCCTATTATTGTGACATCAGTCTATTTCTTAAAAAAAAAACACACTAGGTAGTACAGGAAAAGCACGCGTCTTTTATAACATATTAAGACACCAATGATGTCTTTGTCAATGTAATTGAATGTTCAGTTTACTTCATGTCCTGAAATTTTCAGTGTACTTAAATTCCTCCTCAGTCCTCTGTTCTACAGAATGTAAGTACTACTTCAGGGTTAGGCTTCATTCCTTTTTAGGTCAGGCCAGCATAGTAGCCAGGCCAGGGATCTTGAATTGTTAATGCTATCTAACCACATTTTACCAGCAGTAAGTTGTTGCCTAGGAGTTTGGTTGCTTTTATTCTCCCCAGAATTTCTCTGACTGGAAGAAAAAAAAAAAGGAAGGGGGTATATTTAGCCTTGGATGTGCAACTGTCAGAAGATACTTTTTTTTTTTGGAATTTTGCTTAATCATGTTAACAGAAGGTTTCTTAATATTTATCTTTTTTTTTCTCTAGTATTATCAGACCTTTGAGTAAACAAGAAACCCCCCAGAATCCCTGAAGAACAACAAATTTTGAAAGCTTTCTACGTGACTTCGGACTCTTGAGCTTGGATTACTTGTGAAAATCTAATACTACTTGGAAGAAAAAAAAAAGTGGCAGTTCCAGCTACTAAATAGATTGTTTTGGGAAAACAAAACAAAACAAACAAACAAAAAAACCACAAATAAACAAAAAATAAAAGTAAGAGTTAAGGAGATAAAAAGATAAAAGACAATTTACCTTTCTTACTAATTTCATTTCTGATTTCAGATAAGGACTCTATTATGTACTAAAGTAAACACAATGGTGGAACACTATTTCCATAGTGGAATGTGACATCATGTAGTCATTGGTATCATATTTATTTTTAGGTAGGAATCAGTAACTCAACTATTGGCTACTTAAATCTCTCTGTGTATTTTTTTTTTTCCTCCCCTCTCACTGTATGTGAGGTGCTGATTTCCATGATGTAACCTGAATTTGTCTGAATACTCATGTATCTTTCACCCCTTTTTTGACTTCTCAGTGTATTTACTGTTAGGGAATTTGAAAAGATGGTTCTTGCTTGCTTATAAAAAACATGGATTAACATCTGTTTGGGGAACTCCGGGGCCAGGGCACAAAAGAAACTACAGTGGTTATGGCAGCATCACATATAATTTTCTGTACAATTTGTGCTTTTCCTGACCCCCTCTCCTGTTTTCTTGTAGGCACTCTTTAGGTCCTAGGAGGTAGGTAGGTACAAGGTCTCCCTGGAGTTTTCTTTTCTCCAAGCTTAACCATCCCAGCTCCTTCAGCTTGCCTTCACAGGAGAGGTGCTCCAGTCCTCGTGGCCCTCCTCTGGACCTGTTCTAATACATCCATGTCCTTCTTGTGCTGAGGGCCCCAGAGCTGAATGCAGGGCTCCAGGTGGGGTCTTACGAGATCAGAGTAGATGGGGGGAGTCACCTCCCTTAACCTGCTGGCCACACTTCTTTTGATGCAGCCCAGGATACAGTTGGCTTTCTGGTATGCAAGTGCACATTTTTTACTCATGTTGAGCTTCTCATTAACCAACACCTCCAGGTCCTTCTCCTCAGGACTGCTTTCAATCTGTATTTGTGCTTGGGATTGCCCCAGCTCAGACACAGGACACTGAACACTTGGCCTTGTTGAACTTCATGAGGATTGCACAGGCCCACATCTCAAGCCTGTCCAGGTCCCTCTGGATGGCATCCTTTTTCTCCAGCATGTTGACTGGTGTCATCGGCAAACTTGCTGAGGGTGCCCTCAACCCTACTGTCCATGTTACCAACAAAGGTGTTAAACAGTGCTAGTCCCAGTACTGACTCCTGAGGAATACCACTTGTTACTGGTCTTCACCTGGACATCAAACCATGGTCTTAAATTCTTTGAGCGTGACTGCACAGCCAATTCCTTATTTGCCAAGTGATCCATCTGTCAAATCCATGTCTTTCCAATTTAGAGACAAGGATGATCCAACTTGCCCACAAGTCACCATATAACCTGCTCCAGTTAACCTAGATCTTCCTGATTGGAATGGGATAAAAATCAGGACTAGAAAAAGTACAGGGAGTTCCTGCAGTAAGGGAGAGTTATGAGCAGCTGGAAAGAGACATATGGAAGAAGAAAAAAGATAACCTGCCACCAAACTATTTTGAAGAAATTAGAGTGTCTGTGATTCCAAGGCTGACAGCTACCTCGCAGTGAAATGCTGCCATGAATGCTGTTTCCCTTTCTCTGCTGTGATCAGGATATCAAAGTGCTAGGATCTATTTCTATAGCATATCTACAAGCTATGAACTGACAGGACTTAGCTGTTTTATAGTTCTTCATAAGGCATAGTACAGTATAATGTTGACATATAAAACTACTCTGCTTTAGAGCAATGAGCAGACTGTAGCCAAGATATTCTAGAAGAGTATCTGTTTAATTGCTTTTTTATCAATGGAAGATGGTTGAAATGTGATCAGGAATGCAACTTAAACTCTGAAACATAATCTGCTGCTATTTATATATTTATAGCATGGAGAATAGGACATTTTTTGTGTTTTAGCATGGCAGCCAAGTGAACCTATCTTCTGGAATAGCAAATCATATGAAGTCATTCCATCTTTGGTCTCAAAGATCACAGAATCTGTAATGACCAGAATGTCTAAATTCAGACTGTTTTTCACACGCAGTTTATTTCTCATTTATTAGGCAGTGAAGAAAATACTCATTCTTTTCTAATTTACCCATTCTTGCAGAGAATCCACAAATGATCCATAATTTAATCATCTGTTTCAGGGTATCATGGATAACACAATAACTCATACTGTTTTTCCACCAGTACATAGAGAAGGACCCAGTTATTCTGATATATACCCTTATACAATTTGTTTTTGGAAAATAGTATGTTTCTGGTATAACAATAAAATAACAAATAAAGCATGTTGCAAATCAATAGCAAATCAATCAGCAACAAAGCAAATGATCAGCTGAGGTGTGCTAATACACCAGTGCATGTATGTGCTTATGCACAAACACCAACAACGTGGGTGTATGGCAATTTCCAAGCCTCTTCTGATGCTTTCTTCCAAGTTGGGCATGATGCCAGTTTCAAAGAGAAGACCTTTCAAGCAACTTACCTTATAGAGAAAGGCTGAAGCACAGCCAATGCTAATTCTTTCTTCAGGAAAACTCCACACCATTAAAACACTGTTTAAGATCACATATAAGCCTATCTGCAGTTTTCACTGTGGAAACTTCATGTCAAAATGTGATGATAATAATTACACATAGCTGTAAAGTTCAGGTCACTTAGGGGCAAATCAAGCAAATTTTGTACAATCATTTTAGTAGTTTTGCTGAGCTGATCTTCTAGTTAAAACTGCACTGCAGTTGTGGGAACTAAAGCTATTATTACATAATTTCCAAGGAATTTAAAGTAAGTCTGAAGCTAGCAGGGACTTGTCTGAACATGAAGGAAGAAGAAATCATCCATCTCCTAACAAGAAGATTTTTTTTTTTTTTAACCTTCACAATTCTGAATTTGCATTGTTTTTATTCTTGTACCAGCTACTGAAAGAAATGTATCAGCCACATGGAGACACGCCTTTCTCTGTAAGCTTCAGTTGCTGCTAGCAGCTAACCGGGAATTCTGTCTGTCGTCTTTCTGAATTCCATATTTAAAATCCAGAAAAATTACTACTATGTTCATCTATAAAATTAGGATACAAAACAGGACTGAGAGTTGCTATCAGTAGTTGTTCATTTAGTTATGTTAATATTGAAAGCACTTGTGAGTTACATAATTTCTAGTCCTTCAGATGCAGAGTAATAGGTTATTTACATTGCCAACACATACTGGGATATAATTTTCATCTGGAACAGAGTGGTAAATTTACTTGATAAGAAAGGGGAATATTTGTTTCCTTTGATTACTATGCAATTGATAAGCAGAAAAGTATGTTTGACAAATACTGCTTTTCTGCATTTGGGGAAAAAGAAAAAAAAGAAAAAGCAACAGTTGATATATTTCTTCCACATGATAATTATTAAATTCTTTTAATTTCCAGCTGTATATAAAGACATTATTAAACAAGTCCTATTATAGATTTTTAATTATCAATTAGAATGTTATAGGCAATTGGCATCTTAGATCTTTTCAAGTGATACCTATAGTCTGCTCGTTTCTTTCTAATAAGTCTGAGAAAACATGAACCTTTTCAGAAATTGCAATAAAGTTGGTTTTTCTAGCTATGTTCTCTTAATTCTTAAATAAGCAGCTAGACATCTGACAGACTAAATAAAATGCTCAATGATGAATAATGTTCATTAAACAATCAAAAAAGTATCAAGAGGATCATTTGATCTTGTCAAAACAGCACAATCCATTTGTTTTAATGAGGTCATAAATTTAATCAAAATAAATGCTATGAAGTTCTGGACCTCTGTGATATATCACTCAGTATCACGTAATATCACATTTTTGTTAAGAAATTTGAATGAGAAAATATAAATATAGGGTATGTGCAATGGATTAAAATAGTAAGTACAATATAAACTTGTTTGTCTGTCTATACTGAAACAAGATCCCTCAGGAATCATAACTCAGCCTTATATGACTCACTTCTTACTAGACACTTACCTAGGCCTGTATTCACTTGTACACTGTGTGATCTCAGGCAAAATATTATAATACAATCCCATGTATGGAAGCTAAATCCAAGTAAAATCAAATTAGATTTGTAGAGACAATAGTTAAGAATGAGGACAATTAGTCATTGAAGACACTTCCCAAGGTACACAGTCAACAATTCTTCAACCAATATTTTTAAATCAATACTTGGTATTTTTCTAAAATGATCGTGGAAGTTCAAATAAAGATATCTGGTGGGAATCAGTCCAATGAACTACAAAGGAGAAAGACTGAAAAATCACAATATGTTATTAATCTTCTAGTGACAGTTTACCCAGTAGTGGCATCTATATGTTGGGTTCTGTGCTTGTGTCAATCTCACAGTTTCAAACATCTATCATTTTAGATAACACTTTCCAGGCCTTTTTTTCCCCTGAAGTATTATTTATTTTATTTATTTTTAAAGCATTCAGCTACTTCTAAGAGAAGAAATTGGAAAATTGATGTTTTCTGCAGTATAAGTATTTCTGGAATTATTGATTATTTTAGATACTGAAAAAAAAAATGATTAAAGGATGGACACCGATGACAATGTGAGTGTTATTTTTTCATTTGGCTATGTCTTTGAGTTTTAAAAATATTACTGTTTGAAGTATAGTGCTGTGAGAACAGCCTTTTTTACCCCCTGTTCACATCTGGAAGAAAATAACTTTGAGATGCATGCTGCTGCTTTTAATTGTGGAAGTCTGCTGTTGGTAGTTTAAATATATATATACACATATATATGTATATACATATACATATATATATATGTAACATTAATGGCAAGATTTCCAAGACCAAATACAGGATTTGGTCCTTTATACACAAAATCCTGGATACAGGATTTTACGTGTTGCAAAAAATCATTCATCTTTGAGAGTAGAAAGTTATCCACTGAATTCAAGAATGAACAATATGCAAGATAAGCGTTTGTGTACTTAACATGAACTCACCTCTGCTTAGAAGTGGCAATTCTCAGGTCAGTCATTTTATTATGAAAAGTAATACTGCCTACACTTTGAAAATATAAAAGCAGCGCTGACTGGTTACACCATTGTAAAGCATGAAAAAAAAAAAAAGCCAAAAGCTTTATTTTAAGCAACCAGATTTAAACCATAATAACAGAACATTAAAGTTGTACTGCTAAGTTTTCAAAAACCAAGACAAAGGTAGTCAAGTATGCATATTAAGTCTTAATTTTGCCTCTTGTGAATATGCATTATTAAACATTTTTTAATGTTCTTGCAATGTACCGTATCTTGCATGCGAATTTGCGTTTTCTGGAAGTCATTTGAAATGAGTGAAATACAGCTTTGAAAAGCTGTTTACTAAGTATGCCACATTCTAATTGTAAAATTGGGTATCTTAATTATGCCATTATGGTATATACATGTAATTAGGCAATATGGATATTTAATTTTGTGTTGATTATCATGTGCAATTATGAACTGAGTAATCTTAGGAAATTGTGGCCAAGATTGGCACATTGAGCAGTTTGAAAGTTCTCCATCCTACTTTTTGTTTTTCTGTAAACGTGCCCTAGAATATAAACTGTGTTAATATGCTAATGTCTCACTTCAGATCATGTACTGTATAAACAGTGGCATGCAATGGGCAACATGGAGTTAGGACGATGGTTCCTTCTCATGCTATACGGCAACAGTGCTGAAATTTGTGTTTCATAGGGTTTCCTCGTACATCCTGAACATGGCCTGACTGCATTGAAGCTATTTTACGCTTTTTTATATAGTAATCTTGCTATCACTCATACCCATTGACGTGATATTTGAACGTTAACCCCTCTTAAAAAAATGGCTCAAGTAGCGGCAATAGAAATATAAACATGGACATCAACAGCTGAAAAATTAGCACTCAAACTAGTCCTGAAAATATCCTAAGTGAAAATATCTTCAGACCAACATGAGGACCAATAGATTCTCTAGCGTTACCAGTTCAGATAAAATTAAAGAAGGCAGACATCTGCCTGTCGCTGGCTGAAGCACCTGGTTTAGACTACAATGACTTAGATACAACACAAAGTTTAACAGCCTATAGCTTTCATATGGATCTTTATCTGAGCCCCATGTAGATGCAGTCTAAGTTGCAGTTATTGAAATCTCCATAGAGCTCCACAAAGAACAGATGCAAGACAGTGCAGCACCTTAGAAAGAGCAGATAAAGGCTGACCTGTGGTGGTGGTACCAGGAGGCATCTGTGTATTATGACACCATTCAAAATTCCCTTCGCCTACTAACTGCAAGCCATGGTCTGCTGGGCCACAACATTCAGCCTGCTGGAGAAAGGACATATCTGAAAATTTGCTAATTAGTTTGTATTCATATGCATTCCTTACGTAATTCAACACCTGCCTGATCCCAGACTGCAGGAAATTATAATTAGAAGTTATAATTAGAAATTTAGATCATTTTAGTTAATAATAATTTTGGATAGGAGGTGTATACCTGTCCTACCCAAATAGGGTACCTCAATAGGTACATATGGCAGCTGAAATTGAGAGGCCAGGAACATGAACTGAGGTACCTACAAAACAAATAATCCCAGAAAGAAAGTAGGCAAAACTGTTGCCTGTGAATATTGTGGGCTCTGGATGAACCATGTGAATACATGGGATGTCTGCATTCTTCCCCATTCTTGATAACTGTTACTATTTAGTGTGGAAGGTGGTTAATCTTATTTCCTAATGCATGCATAAGAGATGAGTCCAAACAATTCTCATCATTTTGTGTCAGTGCATCATTTAACTTGAGTGGGAGGGTTAGTGTTTTCACCTATGGTTCATTGACCATGGGTTGAGAACTAATATCTGTAACAGCTCTAATGCATATATAAATATATATTTTTTCAGTTGCAGTGAAAAAAAATTTCCTGCAAATAATTTAATACCAGATAACTGTTCCTACTCACTACTCAGTCTGTGTCTGTTTTGCTGCTAATTAGCAGATCATACTTTTTTGAAGATATATCACCTTTGGTTACAGTTATGAGCTTCACTCAGAGGGGTGTTGTCTCCTGCATCTATCTCAAACCAGGCACTGGCAGGAAAGCAAACATACGATTTGCTAGGCTCATGATCCCAGGTAAGAGCAGACAAAAAGCAAATTTTTTGTCTCACACTTGCAAGTGCCACAGCTTCTGGTTTGGGAGCTACCAGCTGAAACATCACCTTATGGTACTGATATGTCAAAAGAGAAGAATTAGTATTTGCAACAAGAGAACAGGGGTTGGCATGTGGTACTATTATAATTCAGGACTGCAGCATGGCACAAAATTCAGTCTGACATTGAATTGTTCTTTTTAAGATAGACCTCATACCACAAGCAACCTCACATTGCAAGCAACCAGACAGAATGTAGAGTGTTTTCGCACTCTCTCATGAATTTCTAGTTGATGGCTAACGATGAATTGTTAACTGTACATAAATAAGTTATATTCAACAGAGTGAGTAGTATGAGTAAACATCTAGTAATGTGTATGTATAAGTCAAATGGAGTCATAACAATTAGTGTTAGCTTATAGGATTATTTTAGGTTAAAAAAAAAAATAATCTCTTTCCTAATGATAATTTTGTTTGTATTCAATTTTGAACAAATAACAAAAATTGTTCCTGTTGGAAATAAGATATCTGGGACATTTCTTGTTTACACTATGTATGACACCAAAAATACAAATTGTATTTAAAGGGAATGAATATTCTATTCACATCTGCTTTGTCTACTTTATACTACCAGACTGGTATTAAGGGGCTTTTGGGAATCCTTGAAGAAATCCTGAAAGTTACGAAAGGAAAAT